AACTCAATAACTTATTCAGGGTTATTCAGATGACAAACGTATCGCAATCGACTTATAGAAATCGACTCAAAATCAAACTTAAAACGCTTATAAAACGGAATTAATTCATGAAATTGTTTACATACATAACGTAATGAAAATATTAATGTTTCAATATCCAGATAATCAAAGATTCGATGTAAAATTTCTGTCGATAATTTCAAAAGTGAAGGGAATTCTTCAACATGTTTTGATTTTTTCTCCAATCGTTGTGACGTGAAACGAGTTTGTAAATACAACTTTTCACCAACTATTTGCAGATTATTCATCGTAAAAATGCTTCTATACTCTATTCTTTACGGACATACACATGAGAGATAAGAGAGTTTAACTTAAGTGGTTTCTCTTGTGTTTCGTTGAAAGACAAATATGCAATCGTGTCACTCCCAGTCTGGTAAACCAAAAAGAATAATCCACGAAAAAACAAAATCATTTTCCCCGAAATGAGCGGTTTTAGTCTTTCATCATCTGAGCCTGTGTAGGCTCAATTCATGCTGTGCTAATGTCATCCAATTGAAAATACGATTTGTACTTGATATCTGAAAACATTATCTGTAAGACTACCCTCATCCTTGAATACATTTCGCTTTTGCTTTCTGAGTCAATATGCAAATGATTCATTCCGAAAGAAATAGTGTGACGATCAACGTCTAAATAAAATCAATGCAAAGTCAACTGAAGCCGGGATTAATAAACTTGTTCGAAATTTAACTTCTGCTATCAAAGGTTTTTATAATTCATTCGATAAAACTGCATTAATAACAGTTAAATACGCCAAAGTGAAGTCGATCGAAAACTTGTCGATGTTGTTAGTGCGAAAGAAAACGAAACAGGGAATAAATTCGACGTAATTCAAAATCTATTAAATACCGTCGCGCAAGGCCTAGCCAATACAGACAATGCACTGCGAATTGCTTAACAAAGAGTGGAAGACGCAAGAAATTGTTTAGGCGAAAAGAGAAGATGAAAACGTTTCTTGATGCGGTCATTAATTTAATCGAAAACATCATCGATTCTTTATGATACAAAGAAAAATCTGATCAAGTTAGATCTATTGATTATTCCTTTGAATGCAATTTATGATCAGTTGAGAAAAAGTAACTTATTGATGAACACACAAACTGATATTGTTCATTGTATAAAATTAGATAGATTGATTAATATTTTACCATAAAAACCTTTCCATACATGTATAATTCGAGATTTGAATTCAACTATTTAAAAATCTGGCTATAATCAGCTGCTAGAATTAACATAAAAGAATAACGGATTTTTGAAATTTTTCACTTGAAAATTTTCATTTTGAACTGATGAAAATTCATCATTTGTCTTATAAAGAGAGATTATTGTCAAACTTCACGTATGTGTTTATTTAAAGAAAAACAAATATACACGAGAATAAAGTAGAGAAATACTCTAATCATAGTGTCCAAATATAACTGACGCACACAGTTGCGCAACAAAGGCGTTGACTTTTCACTCATCATTCGACACAGCTCTTTCGCATCTTGAGGGTTGGTTTGCAAATGTAGGGTATATGTGCTTCATAATTTCTCGAGCAGCTAAAAGGCTGGATGTTATAGCATCATCACTTGACTTTCTTATCCCCATAACATATACTGTCTTGGTTGTCTGTCAGATACTGGTTCAATAAATTGTGATATGCGACGTTGAGTTGTAAAGAGGGGAGTGAGTCATTTGTGCCATCCTTCCGCGAAGTTATTGGTTCTAGGAAGCTTGTTACCGATCACATTACTAACATCTCATCATTAACTTCATCGATCGATACTGATCGAACACTGTGTTGTTTTGACGTTATACTAGATAATACATAAGTTTGCTTTCTGTATGATAGTCTACAATATTATCATCCGTCTTGCGAATTATACTTTTTGCTAACAGCATTGGAGGATGTAGGGCCAAATCGATGATGATGAAGAATCAACTAGTCCTTTTCTGTCAGGATTGCGTTGGTTTCTGATATTCTCGGAGATTCAAAAACATGATAGGGCGTAATTACTGAATTTTTCGCAAAAGTGCTTGAATATAATGAAACCAACATCTTGCAGACGTATTGAAGGTCAGGTCTCGCTGAACGTATTTACTGCTGCTTTTTCGAAATCACACATTAATCGTGTTGGATAAAATAATAGTGCTCTTTAGTCCATCAGATGTTGGAGGATCTTTGTGTAAACATCTTGACCGGCTTCGTAGTTAAAAAATTAATGAAATGCGTGATTGGATTGGTTGAGCACGATTTTGGATAATTCTTTCTCCACTTACAATACAGATGGTACATAGTTTTTAAAATTTACAGCGCACAAGATAGTAAAATCACGGAGAATATAACAACTCCAACAAGAAAGAAAAGAAATAACAAGATTGAGGGTAGAGTATCAGAAGCTCTATAACATCATTTGTCTTTCTCGATGACGTGCTGTGATAAATGGGCTAATCGATTTAGTAGACCTCCCTAACTATGTATTTTTTGTCGGACTATATCTTGTGGGAAAACTTCAAACGAACCTATTTCAAGATAAATCTATCATCAGTTATACAATGAAACACTATTTTGAGACAAACGAAGAAAAGCATGCATCGTACAATTCGATATGTAATTACGCATTAGGAATCTATCAATAGGCTGGAGCTGACGTCGGGTACCACGAAACAATCGAGATATTTAGGACTGCTTTGTTCTGTCATTATACTTTTCTATAATGAAAAACATCATTGGTGTATTGCAGCACAATCATCAACTCGAATTTAGATCAGGGGGGCCAGATGTGTAGANCTCGATAATGAATATTTGTTATGTTACAGTCAATGTATTGTGCTTATCGGAAGTTTAATAAAAATGTTGCAGTTTTATACAATAAGGAGAGATATTCAATTTTCTCGACAAACGGCGTTTAAATCGTTGGAAAATCTGAATAAAACTCGATTGAAAAATTATTTCTTGTTAACGAAAGAGGAACAGGAAGAAGAAATGAATAAAATCTATTATAAACATGTGTATTATCTTCTGTTAATTTCATCGCAAACGATATCGTTTATTCCATTTGATTCGTTGGACGATCAACTATTTATTGAAGATTATCTTGACCTTTTCGAGATCTTTATTCGAAGAATTGATCAACGAATGCCGAAGAAATCCGATGTGCAGTGTACTTTGGGTGTTATTGGCGAACGAATTCTAACTTTCCTTTGGAATTTAACTGATCGGATAATTCTCATTCCGATTCTACTTCGAACAAATCTTGCAGAAAATACTTTGAAATGGATTCAGCAATCGGATTCATTAACCGAGAAAAGTCGAAGAGCGTTTCCAAGTATTCTTCAAAATATCGCTCGACATGATCAAGGTGCTGAAAAATTAAATCAATTTGATGCGATTGAGATTCTCAAAGCGTATCAACAAAAGTGAGTCAATTCATCATTCGACTCTAAGCCAATCACTGATTTTCCTATAGCGACATCTCTCATGAAATTCAAATTTCTACTATAGAACGTCTGGTAGAGATGATGAGCGTTGTTCTCTGATACTCTTAAGTGCTCCGATCGGAATCTTATAGAGGTGACTTTGATTTGAAAACGATGTACTACTCATTTGTTTTTTGTTTGTATAGAAACCTCGAGAAGAGTGGAAGTCGAAAATTATTGATTTCGATGACGATCGCATTACTATCAACACCTGAACAATTGAAAGATAACAAAAAAGGAATGAATGTTGCATTGAATCAATTATTGCAGTTGGTTATCGAGTCGTTCGGATCGGACCGATTTCGTTCTGATGGAATTCATGTTAGCGAACCGCTACAAGTTTTAGTGAAATTATTCGTTGTTGAAGAACGAACACTTGATTATATTCTTAACCATGCTGAAACGAAATCCTCCTCGAATTTGGTGTCGACAATTTGTTTGTTTATTGAAATCTTTCTTCAATTTAGTGATTCGTTGAAACAATCGGATCGTGTCGAACAATTTACATTGATTGCAATTACGAATGTTCTATGGAGTATCTCGTTTCTTCACTATTCCAAAGAAGAATTTCTCAAAAACAAGTTGTTCATTCGAACAATTAAGAAAATCAATGAAGATTTAGATGAAAATGACATCATTCAGCAGTATAAACCAAAATCAATGGAGAATATTCAACAAGCGATTCAAGGTATTTTACATAATCTGGATTTTCAGCAAGAATCAATTCATTCAACTCAAAAGTAAATATCAAATTGTCAAAATGATGAATTTTTTTTGTGAATATTTTTAGTCGAACTGGTCAAAAATGGATCATGATAAGTTATTGTCACGAAAATATTGATTTATGCAATGAAATCTCGAAATATCTGAAAAATTCCATAAAAGATTTGAATATTTGGATCGATCAAACCCACACAAATGGTTCAGTAGATCTTTGGGAATCCATCGCCCAAGGAATCGAACAATCGACTGCAGTTTTATGTTTTCTCTCAGAAGAATATTTTCAAAGTAAATCATGTCGACAAGAATTTGTTTATGCAAATGATTCTCTGAAAAAACCGATCGTTCCGATATTGATCAAAAGCTTTCAACCAAAAGGATGGTTAGGTTAGTAAAAGGCATTTCGTTTCATAATTCATTTTATTTGATTTCTTTGGGAAAAAGGTATTCGAATGACCGGGTTGAAATACATTCGTTTCAAAGATGAAAATCAGTTGGAAGAAAAGAAAAAAGGTGAACTACTGAATACAATTCTTGCATTATTATCGATCAAAACAGGTGAACCAAAGGAAAATCTTTCGGCTTCTTGTCTAATCGATGAAATTCCATCGAACTCCTCCAATGAAATAAAACGATGGTTTCAATCAAACCGACTTTCGAAGGATTTTTACGATTTATTTCAATTCGAAACACGTGAAGAACTATTGGATTATGCACAATTACTATTCAAAGACCCAGAAAGACAAATGAACATTTATGACAAGATTTATTCACAAAAATATCACGGAAAACAAATGGCTCCACATGAATTTCTTCGCTTTACGAAAGCTTTACAACAATTCGTCCAAGCTGATTCGAATTCAGTGTCATCAACACAACTCAAATCCAAAACATGTGTTCTATCCTGAATATGTTTTTAGAATTTCAGTCTCAATTCGAAATATCATTCAAATTATACCTCAGATTTTTCTAATCTAGGAAACATTCAGACGCGAACTTATATTCTCATGTATTCGATTGAGAATTTGATATTCTATCGAACGATGTGGTTTTTGAAGAGCATCGCGCTAAAGAGAAAAGAATACGAAAACCGAAATTACATCAAATGTGACGTCAATAATAAGGAAGAAAAAACTATCGTTAACCAATACGACAATTCCTTGAATAAATCTGATACCGGTGGGCACTTGAAAATGGAGGTTCAACATTTGTTCTATAATTCTATGATGAGACATACTTTTTCAAAGATGAATGAAAATATCAGTCTGCGAGAAGTATTGATTTTCCTTCTAATAATCAGCTGTGTGATGTCAGTTCCATCGACAAATCCTATTAACGGTTTGATTGAAGGATTCTATTGGTCTGCTTCCAACGCAGTCAATAACGAATATGATTTCTTCACAAAGAAGCAACGCGATCAATTGGTCTCCTCAATGAATGAAGGAGTCAATTATTATTTTTATTGCCCACAAGATCGTGAAGATGATTCGTTCACAATGCGACCATGGAATACGCAGAAATTAATTGATTGGTCTGATACCATATCCAGAGCGTCGAATATTTCTTTTGTCATCGGCTTACGACCACGTTGGATCGACACTGTTCAATCTTCTTTCGAATCGATCAAATTAATCTTAAATCAATTAGCATCAATCGGCATTCGGTATTATATCTTATGTTGGGACGATGCATCAGGTGCTGGTACAGATTCTCAAATGATATTGCAGAGAGATCTTATTCATGCACTTGTTCGAGAAGTGACCAACATAGAATTGATCGGTATTATTCCTGCTTTCTATGCTCGATCTCAAGTAGCTGATGCGACGAATGTTGTTTGGGCAGAAAAACTTTCAATTTTAAATCAAATATCAAGTAAAATTCGATTTTTTGTCACTGGATTGACTGTGGTTCCATCATCTATTCAAATCACAGATATTCCGCCGTTAGAAAATCGTCAGTTTATTTTTTTCGATAATTGGATTGCGGTGGACTCGAATTCTAAAGTAACGATGACTTGGCCACCGAATCGTCATCCGGATATTTACAAAGGAAGTCAATCAGTTTCAGGTTCGGTTTTGAATTTAGCATTTCCACCGGAAAGAATTATCCATCAAATTTATGCTCTGAAACAACGAATTAATAACACGTATTCAAATATCAACGCAAATCAAGCTGCTGAATCCTGGGCGACTTATCTCATATCAAATACTTTTTATGAATCAAATGCTTTCGAACGATTGCAAAGTGACTTACAATCATTGATTGATCATGGTTATGAAACAAACTCAGAAATTCTTCAACATTATCCACTACTAAAAAGAATCTTTACAAATTAGAATAAACTAATTTTGCGTTTTTAGTTGTAAAATCAAGAGAAAAATGCGGAAACTTCATATTTTATTCGAGACTGCTAAACATGTTTCATTGATCATGCGCTCTTACGTCGTCGAAAGATCAGAATAAGATGAAGCGTTTATATTTATTAAATTTATGACATTTGGTACATGCTGATCAAAAACTAATATTTCAAAGTATTTATATGATGATGAATGAATATTCTTCCTTCATATCATCGCAGTTCATAATACTGTGCAACGTCATATCATAGATGAACGCCTAGACGGATAAATACTCAGACGTTGACTCTTCTTCCATAAAATTAAAAAACGTTAATCATCGGAATCGGAGATAATACTGCACTCCGAATTGATATAATTGAACCAAATGAGAAGACTAAAAAAACTTTTTTGGTACCGAAAGTTTCGTTTTTTCATTTGAAGGTGGTTGATGAGTCCTTCACATTTATTAGCTCTGTCACGGTGCATTCTGTGTTCTGACCATGCAAATTCCATACTCCATAAATTTTCGAATTGATCGACAATATTTCTCATTTTCTCGAGACCAACAGCGGGAAATTTGATATATTTGACATGTTGTGGAATGATCGAATAGATTTTGTCAACATCGAATGCAATGAGAAGATGATCTGAGTACAGATCAAGTTCCGATAGATTTTTGGTTTGCTTAAATATTTCTCTCAATTGTTTTTCCATCTGAGAAATGAATTGATCTGTGTACACCGAACTATTACCACGAAGACTAATCTTAGTTATGCAGGAAAGGTTGAACATGATCGAAACGAATTCTTTTCTATTGTAGGGCCAAAATTCAGTCAACCGAAATTCCAGATCGGTAACATTAGGGAACACATAGCCATTCGATTGTCGAATCTAAAAGAAAATTTTTTATAATAATCAAATAAACCGTCCACGGTTCTTTTTCGATATGTTTGTTTTTCTTTAAAATCTGGCATCGTTAGCATTTAATCATAAAATCTCCGTGTTCTAAAAACATGAACGATTTTTTACTATTTCTCATCCAAATGGTATTGAGAATATGTCTTGGAAATTTCTAACATACTTGAGAGAAATTGAAAGGCACATTGTCCGTAAAACACAGTTGAGTACTTTTGATCCTGTTCTTCAGCTGTATGTTTTGATTGATTTTCTTCAGAGTACATATCGTAGTTCGATCGAAATCAATCTCATAATGTATATCGATCTTTGGAATTGGTACTGAGTAGAAAAAGATTTTCTCTGGAGATTTCAAAAATTCATAAGTGAAACGGCATCGTTTTTCATTCATTTGAAAAAGATTCATACCGAGCGGAAAATTATCATCTTCAATGTGAATAACAAGAAATACTCCGATCGATTGCAATAAATCTAATGCATTTGGAATGAATTCCTTTAACATTGAAGTATTTGTTACAAATTCTGTGACTTTCGTTTGACCAACGATTTCCAGATGTTTCAACATCGGTGTCAATAAAAGGATTTCTTTAAGGTTTTCAATTGATCCTTTATATCGTTGAAATTTTAATGAAACCAAAGAATGGCAAATTAATTCATTATTTTCTGATTCTTCTTCATCTGAACTGGATGCAAAAGAAGATTCACCTTCGGAATGATATCCTTCGTCATTCATTTTAATTCTTCCTAAACATATCGTTCGTAAGTGTGGTGAATAACGTAAAATCAAATAATACTGTTGTTTAGTACAATGCTGAATGGTTAAATGCCGAAATGAATATTGAATAGGTCGTAGAATTGTCTCTAATTGATATGATTTCAGATTACTTTTAAATTTCTTTATATTTGATCTTTGAAAAATTGACGAAATTGAATTGAGTGAAGGACCAGTTAATGTGTGATAATAATGATCTTTAGATACCTTTTCGATCCGAGTTAAATAGTAAATTGAAAATGAGCTGAGTGACCGACTAGTGAGAACATAGTCGAATAAGTTTGTAAAAAAATGTTTGGCATTTTGAATAACAATCAACGAACGAAGTCGAGTAAAATGATGCAGATCGCACACAGAAAGAAAATATTCAATTTGACTGGGTGTTTTATTATCATTAGACAATCGTAATTCAATAACTAATTCGGGGTTAATCAGATGACAAATGTATCGCAATCGACTTATAGAAATCGACTCAAAATCAAACTTAAAACGGTTATACAACAGAATTAATTCATGAAATTGTTTACATACATAACGTAATGAAAATAGTAATGTTTCAATATCCAGATAATCAAAGATTCGATGTAAAATTTCTGTCGATAATTTCAAAAGTGAAGGAAATTCTTCAACGTGTTTTGATTTTTCCTCCAATCGTTGTGGCGTGAAACGAGTTTGTAAATACAACTTTTCACCGACTATTTGCAGATTATTCATCGTAAAAATGCTTCTATACTCTATTCTTTACGGACATACACATGAGAGATAAGAGAGTTTAACTTAAGTGGTTTCTCTTGTGTTTCGTTGAAAGACAAACATCCAATCGTGTCACTCCCAGTATGATAAACCAAAAAGAATAATCCACGAAAAAACAAAATCATTTTCCCCGAAATGAACGGTTTTGGTCTTTCATCATCTGAGCCTGTGTAGGCTCAATGCATGCTACGTTAATGTCATACAATTGAAAATACGATTTGTACCTGATATCTGAAAGCATTATCTGTAAGACTGCCCTCATCCTTTGAATAAATTTCGCTTTTGCTTTCTTAGTCAATATGCAAATGATTCATTACGAAAGAAATAATGTGACGATCAACGTCTAAATAAAATCAATGCAAAGTCAACTGAAGTCGTGAATAATAAACTTGTTCGAAATTTAACTTCTGCTATCAAAGGTTTTTATAATTCATTGGATACAACTCATACATGTATAATTCGAGATTTGGATTCAACTATTTAAAAATCTGGCTATAATCAGCTGCTAGACTTAACATAAAAGAATAACGGATTTTTGAAATTTTTCACTTGAAAGTTTCATTTTGAACTGATGAAAAGTCATCATTTGTCTTATAAAGAGAGATGATTGTCAAACGTCACGTATGTGTTTATTTTATTTAGAGAAAAACAAATATACACGAGAATAAAGTAGAGAAATACTCTGATCATAGTGTCCAAATATAACCGATACACACACACAGTTGCGCAACAGAAGCATTGACTTTTCAATCATCATTCGACACAGCTCTTTCGCAATTGACGGTTGGTTTGCAAATGTAGGGTATATGTATTTGATAATTGCTCGAGCAGCTGAAGGGCTGGATGTCAGCATCATCACTTGACTTTCTTATCCCCATAGCATATACTGTCTTGGTTGTCTGTCAGATACTGGTTCAATAAATTGTAATATGCGACGTTGAGTTGTAAGGAGGGGAGTGAGCCATTTGTGCCATCCTTCTGCGAAATTATTGGTTCTAGCAAGCTTGTTATCAATCACATCGCTAACATCTCATCATTAACCTCATCGATCGATGCTGATCGAGCACTGCGTTGTTTTGACGTTATACTAGATAATATATAAGTTTGCTTTCTGTATGATACTCTACAATATTATCATCCGTCTTGCGAATTATACTTTTTGCTAACAGCATTGGAGGGTATAGGGCCAAATCGATGATGACGGAGAATCAACTAGTCCTTTTCTGTCAGGATTGTGTCGGCTTCTGATATTCTCGAAGATTCAAAAACATGATAGAGCGTAATTATTGAATTTTTCGCAAAAGTGCTTGAATATAATGAAACCAACATCTTGTAGACGTATTGAAGGTCAGGTCTCACTGAACGTATTTACTGCTGCCTTTTCAAAATCACACATTAATCGTGTTGGATAAAATAATAGTGCTCTTTAGTCCATCAGATGTTGGAGGATCTTTGTGTAAACATCTTGACCGGCTTCGTAGTTGAAAAATAAACGAAATGTATTATTAGATTGATTGATCATTTTTTTTAAATTTGCAATAACTGATGACCTCTAAGGTCCTTACAGTACAATGGTCAACATTTTAGGGACAAGAAAAGGGAGTTATAGAACGAATAAGAAAACAGAGACAATATAGAGATTGGGGAGACTCGTTTGACACCGAAAAAAGAAAGAAAGAAGAACGAACATCAAATGAGGGCATTCAAACGACGTGTGACCAGAACAAGAATACGAACGAGAACCGACTTTCTACTAAAACACAGAAGAAGAAGGCAGAGTTGAGATTAGTGATTAATATACAAGAAAAAGAGGAACAGAAAGAGCAGACAGAACCGAAGAGAGTGAGAGAGATAACGAGAAGAATAAGAAGAAGGATTGCTTGAACGTTTCAGGGAAATCAGCTAGTGTTGTAATATCCTCGATATCATAGTTTGGTAGCTAGCTATACATTGGTGTCTCGTGGCACCATTGCACTACTTTTTCGATCACGAATACATGTTCCACAAATCTTTTGGACATGTAGATTCGTATTATTTTCATTTCTTTATTTTTCCACATTTCGCGAAATGTGTTGAGGTTCGCTTGTTCGAGGAGAAGCTCGCCATCTTTACTTTCAGAAAGAGCTATAAAATATTTCTTCCAATATTTTTACATCTATCTACAAGAGATATTTCGTTCGATGTGTAGGCGAGCATGTTATCATTCCATTGCATGGAGAACATTACTCTTTTTAAGCAAGTAAAATAGAAGTGCGCAAGATCTTGTTGTTGTTTTTCTGTGAAAAGAGGAAAAAAGGAAAGAGTCATGTAAATACAGGAAGAACAAACGTGAGGAAAAGCGTTTTTCTAAGTTGTAGCGATGTTGTATCGTCAGTGCGGATTGCGTTTATCATTCCTACTGTTTGCCTAATGCTGGTTGATCATGGTTTTGGATATGATTCCTTCTCCACTTACAATACACACGGTACATAGTTTTTAAAATTTACAGCGCACAAGATAGTAAAATCACGGAGAATATAATAACTCCAACAAGAAAGAAAAGAAATAACAAGATTGAGGGTAGAGTATCAGAAGCTCTATAACATCATTTGTCTTTCTCGATGACGTGCTGTGATAAATGGGCTAATCGATTTAGTGGACCTCCCTAACTATGTATTTTTTGTCGGACTATATCTTGTTGGAAAACTTCAAACGAATCTATTTCAAGATAAATCTATCATCAGTCATACAATGAAACACTCTTTTGAGACAAACGAAGAAAAGCATGCACCGTACAGTTCGATATGTAATTACGCATTAGGAATCTATCAATAGGCTGGAGTCGACGTTGGATACCACGAAATAATCAAGATATTTAAAACTGCTTTGTCCTGTCACTACTGTTCTATACTGAAAAACATAATTAGTGCTTATGCAGCACGATCGTCAACTACGTAGTGGAAGTTAGCAGCGGATTCGAGTATTTCTTGCTGATATTCGCTCAAGGATTTGTGATGGATAGATCTCGTCATTCTGCATCGAATGGTGTAACTTGAGTGGGGGCCCATTCGCCCTACCTAGTGGTTTCACCAGTAAATACTATAGTAAACTAGTGGTTTTTACCAGTATATCCGGCTGACATTCGCTCAGGGAGTTGTGATCAGTCTGAAATTCCTGGGACTGATGAAACTCGACGAGCTCCACAACTTTGTCTAACGACACTTTTCTGCCAGACTCTTTCTTCAGTCCGAAATATGTCAAAAAACGACGCTAATCCGTGAAAAACCTAGGTTTTGTCTAAAAATGCTTTCCAATGAAACAATCAGTGGTTTCAGGCAGATCTTGATTACCGCTATTGATATCATACCGAATTCATAAATTTCCAATTTGTTGGCATCAAGAGCAACGATAATTAGCAATAAATCCGCTACATACATCTCTTCCCTCTCACTTATTGGTTCATTCTTGTGAACCAATAGAACTAAAGCAATAGAAAATATTATACTTTTCAGAAATTTTATTGTGATAAATTGACTAAAATTGTAACTAGTGGCAGAATATTGAAGTTATATAATTTTGGTAATCTTTCTCTTTCATTGACTTCTTTTTCCTTTTATACCGTATGGTTTTTAAATAATTACCAGTTTTTTTAATTACTCTTCCTGAAGATTTATGAAGTGGTTTTTGTGACGTTTTGGAGAGCGATAACCCTGTCATCAGATTTTATTTTCGAAATTAGAACGATTTTTCACACACATATATATGTTTTTTTTCTCGTATCTTCTTCATCTGTGGTGTTATATTATGTATTACTGTTGTCCATTGTTTATCGATTTCGACATAATGATTCATGGAGTTGTTAGTAGTCGAATATATTGTTTCTTTTATTCTTCTCTTTTCCTGATCAATTTCATTATGGACGATAAATAAACTTGTTCTAAACGTTTTTCTATAGAAATGTTGGACTAGTTCTGAATTTGAGTTTTCATCATCCTCTTTTATTTTTCTCTCATGTTGTTTCATTCTTTTGTGTATCCCAATCTTGGTTTCGCTATTGTATAAAGCTTCACATTCACATGGAATCTCATAGGTATTTGATTTTGACTCAAGTTTCATTGATTGAGCACATAGTGATTGTAACTTATTTTAATAAGAGAAGTAAACTTTTATCTTATATTTTTGCAGTTTTCCCCTTAACACTTCAATTCCTGGTACATATGGTAAACAAACTTAAGCGAGGGATGAAGGTGTGGGTACTACATCTGGCTGACATCTACACCCTCACCGTATAAAATGAAACATATATTAATAAAATAAAGTGCGGACCATTTATTCCGGGATATTCGTTAGTACAATCACACATTCAAAGTAATAATATAAAATCATGGAGAAAAAATGAAGAAACTAAATTAGAACATGAATGTTTTTCAAGAAATCGAATAAGACAAATCTTAATCACGTTGAACAATAAAATATACGTGCCGACCATTAGGAACTGCTCCACTAAAACCGACAGAATATTTATATCTTTCGTGGCTATTGCATGCATCGGTGTGTGTATGAGTTTATCCTATACCTTATACTCGCTCCTCCATAACAAATCATACACTTACTTGACACGTAGCATACGCTTTGTATACTTGTTGCGACGAAGAAGCGGATCCATTTGATGCTTGTCCAGCAGAGGCCATCACTTTTGTATCATCTAATAGTACAGAAATGCTTATTAAAATTAAGTAGATACCTATATAGTTTATGAAATGTTGGATTTTTGTTTTTCAACTCAATTGCTTTTCTCCTTTCGTTTCCTTGATATTCATCTCTCTACGAAAAAACAATAAATAACGTTTACTAATCTCTTTCTCTATCCTTATCATTTTATAATACTATGAAACAGGGAAATAGGAGTAAAACAAAAGTATCTTGAAATACGTACCTTCATCATCTGTATCTTTGTCATCGTTTTCACTTTCGTCATCAGAATCTAGAGAAGAAAAGCGATCATACGCCATTTGATTTTCATTTCAAGCTAATAGACATTTTTCAGTTAATCCTATAGAGTTTTCCAAGCACTTTTATGATATATATCAGTACTAATAAAAAGTATTAATTATAACGATCACTAGAGTATCCTATAAATTCATTTTGTCTTAGACACTCGATATCACGAAAATAATATATTTACTTGAGCTGAAACTCTTGTAGCTGAGTTACTCAGGAAAAACTGGCTTCAAAGCGGAAAATCGACAGAAACTATTTCCTTATTTTCATTAAGCCTTACTCATAGTCATAGTGTGGGATTAAATGGCGTTTGATATTTGAATGTGTTCCTCTAGTCAAATGTAACTATTTTAGTATCAGATATAGAGCAAGATTTCGTTTCGAGCTAGGAGACTTTGGCCGATAATAAATGTTCCGAAATATACACGATAATTTTCCTATTCATTCATTTCAGAACCTTTGCTTCTTTACCAATATGATATTTTCGTATGATAACATGATGTGAATGTGGACATTAAATTCAAGTCACACACACACACTTTATATGAGCAACTGTAACTGTAACAAACCTTTAATATTATTTTTAGCTTTCAATACTTACCTGTATCGTAAGTCGGTACCAAGAGTCGACAGAAATTCTCGTTATTTATGCAGCTATGATAGTAAAAATATTTGAGAAACTTTGAAAAAGAATTTAGTCAATTTACCAATTTACCAATTCACGAATTCTTCTTTCGTTATTTTCGTATTTCGTTCTTTACCACAGGCTTCAAAGATTTCCGTAGCAAAATTTCGTGTTTCTTCCTTTGTATATGTTTTACCACAAAGTTCACTGGTAGCACTAATCATTTGAAGTATTTCTTTTTGGTCGATTGTTCCAGATTTGTCGTAATCAAATATATCGAATACCTACAAAAAAGTATTTTTTAAAGAAAGGCTCGAGCAAGAATTAACCAATGTTCATACGAGATTAAGACTATCTTCCAAACTAGTCGATGTATAGATTTGCATTGCCAATGCAAATTCCGTAAAACTTAAAGTTCCATCGTTGTCTCGATCAAATAGATGAAATGCATATCGGCAGTAGCTACTTGCATTGCCTCTACAATGAGATTTTAGAAAATATAGATATAGTTTTAAAATCTACATGATTTATGTAAAATCTTACTCTGAAAATGTTTTTTGAAGAACATTGGTAAACATTTCTCTGGTCATTTTTCCATTCGAGCTAAAAAATAAAAAGCATGAAAACGATTTAGTGAAACTACACGACGAGTGGATGTGAGACAATCTCTGCGAACTTCGACGCATCCACATCCCCTGCTGTAATATCTCCACCCCGCCTCTGACTATTAGACATTGTACTATAGGTGTCTCGTTATTTTTTGCTTACCAGATTTTCATGAATGTTGTATAAGCTTCACGTACGTCTTTTTCGGTCATACCATAAATTTCATGTAAAACATAGTCTATTTGCTCGCGTGTTAACTCTAAATAATATGATAGAAACTGATGGTAAGGATAAGATTAAATAGTTAATCATAAGGTATTTGCACTCAATTTCGACAACCGTCTTCTCTATAGATTTTAATGTGCGTTGAAGTCTGCTATTTCTCCCCTGGTGATCTACGTTGAATCATTTCTTGGCCTTTTTTGAAAATAAAATAACTCGATGTGTTTTTTTAGTCAGCAATTAGTATGTAAAGATGGCGGAACAAACCACACTGCAAAGAGCCAAGTGTGGCTGTGACTATGCAAGTGGTGCGAACATAACATCCTCACCCACACCCGTTATCTAGTAAATATCTTACCGCATTCGTGTTGAATGGATTTGATCGATACTCGTTTTTGTAGGTCTTCACTTTTAATTACTTGGTGTTCATCCAGCACTAATGCACCCATATTTGATGTTATTCGGCCTGTTGTGTATGTCTGCGATAGTTGATGATACCATGGTTCTGGCGTCACAACAGCGCCTTGTGTTTGGTAGCATCGATATGTACGCACATTGCCCACACACGTCACAGGACTACGAGTTGTATAACCGACAATACTGACGCCTGGATTGCTGCTGCACACTCGGCTTCCATTCATCACTTGACTAGACATTTGAACAGTTTGTTTAGAAGTATAACTGCTCGATGAGGAATAGCTTGACCTAGACGTAGTGCAACTGCTGCGATAGTAACTCATTTTCCGAAGACTTTTTGAATTATTCAAAGGCAAGTCGAATTGAATTTAGCTCTAAAATATTTTAATAATTACTAATCGAAGCAAACTATACGATTGAAAACTTTTAATTTAAAACCACAGCGTGTGACAGAGTGTGAGGGGATGCACATGATACACTTAGTTCTTACTCAACTCACATCCAAACTCGAGCTCACCCTCACCCCACTGCTTACGAGATCCCTTAAATAGGAGAAAAACATCACACACAAAAAGCGTGAAAGAAATAGACAGATATATTTGTCTACAGCGAGAAGACTAAGTATATAAGATAATAAATTTTTATATACACACAAGGGAAAAAACCATTATTGCTTATCTATGTTAAAGCCAAAAGCGCCCAGAGAATTGCAAAATCTACATTTGTGAAAGCACAGATGGTGTCCTCCCATCGAGTATTCATACATGTAAAAGTCGAAGACTCGATTCGAGTATTAAAACTACAAAATCGAGTTTTAAACTCTTAACTAATTGGCTATTAAATATGCACTAACTAGATGCTAAATATTAAACGATTAAGTACCTATAATCTATCAACTAACTGATTAGCAGTTATTAACTGACTGATTAGCAATTATTAACTGGCTGATTAGCAATTATTAACTGGCTGAATATCTTGAGAGTGAGGGCGTGGGTGAGGGTGAGGGTGAGGGTGAGGGTGAGGGTGTGGGTGTGGGTGAGAGTGAGGGTGTGGTTGAGGATTGTGGGTAGGGTGCAGCCTGTAATGGCATAGTCGGGCTAATGTGAACGGCATCCGTTTCCGTTAGTTGGCGATAAGCGGAAAGCTCGAAACTTGGAATTCTAGATTTAGAAGTTTAAAAGTTTAAAACTCGAGTGCTCGATTTCTAAACCGAAAGATTTAGAATTCGAACGAAAGTTTTAAAACTCGAATCGAATTAACGATTTCTACACTACTCCCCTCACCCTAAAAAAAGACAGTTTTTCTCGAAGACATATGTTATATATGTATATATAACAAAGTGACGAATGCGCAGAACTAATAAAGATATCGCAAACAAAAGAGATAAAACATCTGGGTTGCGACTCCGAAAGAGAATAAACGACGTAATATAAGCAACTTCAACGTCTGGAGAGAAAAATAAGAGATAAAAAGGTTTATGTTTCGATTCCCCTAATTCCATTGAACCATCTGGTGATGTTCATATTAAGATTGAGTGATATAGTCTTTCTTGTCTGTATCGAGAAACTTTCCGATTTCGATCGATGCGTTTCATTTACTAGTGAGTTTATATGAATCTGACGAATACTAAAGACCTCTACGGATTTCACAATTTTTCTAACTTCTCTAGATGCTCAAATGACAACAAACTATGCACTATGTAGCTGAAAGACTCCTATTTATCATCTATATTGATGCTTAGTGATGTTTAAATGAATAATCTATCTTGATGAAGTTACACTTAGAAGAAAAACATTCGTTTATTACAATCGTGTAGCTGATTGATCGTGATACTGCGCGTTGTTAAATGACCTAACGAGTTGAGAGATAATAACTGCTATATCTGTAAATCGATATTTTGAGAAAACAACACATATAGTATTTAGTACACGTATCTCAAATGTATCCGTCAAAAATGATTTGTACAACACTGAAAAATCTGTGGTGAACACTAAACTCTCTAAAATGATTTATCAAACTGGTAAACTCTTTAAGATACGTTTCTTCCGTTTATTAGCATCATAAATATTTTGATATACTGTCTCTTGTGATCTACTCAAAAAAGTATTTTATACGTTGCAATCTGATAAACATTTTAGGTTATATCAAAAGATTTATGATGCTAATAAACAGAAAAAATGTATCTCAACGAATTAATTAGTTTAATAAATCCCTTTGGAGGGTTTATTATTCCCTACGGATTTTTTTGCAGTGAATCTACGTTTGAGTTTCAACGATAAACTAAATTTTTAATGAAATACATGTATGAGAGCAAATTGGCGTTTATTAAATCTTTATATACCTCTAACGATGAATATTATCTACATGAGTGAGCTTATCTGTAACAAAGTACTCCTTGTTTGAATATCTTCAAGGTACATTTCAAGACAGATAATAATAGAGAAGATGCTCAGTTTATTATAGGTTGATAAAAAATCAAGTGCGTTTATATTCTCTCGTTAACTTTTCTAATAAATCATGCCGTTTATCAACTAAAAGAGAGATAAATCGATTTGAGTTTGAATTCCTTTTTATCGTACCGTGATTTAAAGTATCGAAGTTGTTGCGATACATTCCCATGACAAAAAAATAGATGAAAGGTCTAATTAAAAACAAGAACTAAAATATTCTGGACACCGATATCCTTAGGGAAAATTTGAAGATCGCAGAATATAAACTTGTGGCAGATGGCGCCTCTCAAATACCGCTGCTAATCTACATTTCACCGCGCATTTTCGAAACCGCGGCGATCAGTGGTATCTGTTTCTAAGTTTTCTCGTGGGTTGAGCCGTTATCGTTGATAACATACTATAACTACAGAGCGCTGAATACAGCGTGTAATACAATAGAACTCACGCCAAAGAAACTGTCATTGACGGTTCAAACAATTATGAAGACACTACACCACAGAATGATAGACTTTGTGACACACTATTTCTGTCATGCATGCATAGGGTTGTCTAATCTAGTTCTGGAATTGAACAATTACAACGAACAGTTCCCTGAACTCACTATCCTTTAGATATCTCGAAAGGAAAAATTATACGGCGTTAAAACATGTGAGCTAGAGTTTTGCAACTTGGTCTGATTAAGATTCGCTGTTGTTTATATTTGAAGTAGAGCATCCTGCTTTTTTTTTGAGTTAACGTGTAGAAGGTTCTATACCATGGTTACCAGATCGTCTGAAAAGACAGGAAAATGTCCGAATTTTGAAAGTCTTTCTGATTTTCTTCTGATGTCTGATCTTTTCTATATATCACAGGCTGTTTAAATGAAATTAAAGGTTGTATCATACCGCACATCGTAATAAAATGGATATTGAATAAATCAGCGCGAAATTTAAGGTAAGAATGAATGGTAATTATTCATGTGAACAGTTTTACAAAGATCGTTTAGGTGAAACTCATTTGTAGAAACAAGTCAAAACAATAAAAAAAATATTCAATCGATGTTATATAAACTTGAACTTAGAGGCGGCGCCAGGAATTTTCATCTGAGAGGGCTGAGCACCGGTAAAATTTCGAAAAACTAAATCTATTTCTATTCCTAAGGGTGCTAGGAATTGGTCACTTATATTATCAGTCGAATTAGGCAGCTACTTATTTTACTAGTATTTGCTGGTATAGTCCTCACTTATGGTCGATGATGCCCCACGCATCTTACACCATTCGATGCAGAATGATGAAATCTATCCATCACAAGAGCTTATAGATCCATCACAAGTCCTTGAGCGAATATCAGCAAGAAATACTCGAATCCGCTGCTAACTTCCACTACGTTGCCAACTCGAATTTAGATCCTTTGTTGAAAATATGTTTGAGTTTAACAATATAAAAGTATCGATATCCGTTATCTAGTTTAAAATAAAATATGATCTGAATAGCGGACCTAAAGTTAACGACATCTGTAAGGTTCGTGAGAAAAAATATTATCAACGACAAAGATTGTGATTGTGAAATAACCTTCCATTTTGTTTTTTTTTATTTCTTTCGTTATGAATTACAAACTTAATATCTGAAAAGCATGGAAAATGACAGGGATACTTTACGTCCCTACCCAATCGATCCATTTCAAGACAAAGTTATTGAAAAAGTCGTTTTTGCAAAAAGAAGGTTAATACCCCGCTTAGCATCAATTTTATTTGTCATATTAACATATCCTTTAAAATTGCTAAGTAAACATAATAATAAACAATCTGCTCTAAAGAATAATGAGGAGATTGATTCTACCGAAGTTCCTCCAATATATGTATCAACTCGAACGGCAACAATGGATTCGAAATTTTATTACATTATTCGTTACAGTAAAATTTGGTTTAAACCAATAGGTGCACATCACAATGCACCATATAAATTATTCGGTGACAACGGTTTTATCGATCAGTTTCAAACACCATTAACATCAATTAGTGTCGATGGCGATAATATTTTAGCGATTGACCAAAATGAAATTATCCATTATGCCAAAAGTAATCAAATTATTTGCCAAGTTTCATTTGATTGTCCCCAATGGAAAATCATTGAATCACGAGTGAAATGGACACAAAAATGGTTTAACATGGATGGGGTTTCACTTATTGTCAATCTATTTAAAAACCCGATATTAAAATCTTTGAAAAACAATCGAAATGTTTGCATGTCACATAAAGGTCTTGATACAATGTATTACACAGATATGAATGGAAAGAAGCATCCGGATCCTTACGTCGGTGTGACAACGATTTATTGTTTGAATGAAGATGGAACGCGAATATTCTTTGCTGATCCCTGGCTACAAAACAAATTTCATAATGAATTAACGACGCCAGAAGATGGACAATTCATTGCCGAGTCGATGGCAACAAGTGGCTCGACTTTATTTCTTTTGCAACGAGCAAAAAATGAATTCGGACAAGAAATTAATAAAATGTACACACGATTTGCTGATTTTGATTCAATTGGATCAAATCCAGCATTGACGTCGACTTACAATCGAAAGAATTACGTACCACTCGTTCGTTTTCTTCCGCCCGAAGATTGGATTCAACAACCAGCGATAAATCTTCATGAAAACGCTCGTTTAACGAAAAATATCTCGGTCTTTCAAATCGGATGGGGACAAAATAATCGACAACTACGAGTGCAAGGAACAGATTCCGATGGCAATGTTGGATTCTATTTTAAGAATATTTACGAAAACCACTGGACGTTTCAATTGACCAATAACATCGAAATATCCGAAGAGGAATTCTTATCGGAATCAATTCCGTATATTGGATTTGCAAAAGGTCCACAAATATGTTTTGATTATACAAATGGCGAATTTCATTCGAATTTGAAAGAGATTCACTTTGAAAATATCATTTTGGAGAAGTTTTCACATCGTGGACTTAATGAACGAGGTTTGCATACGAAACTGATTTTAGTATTAAGCTCAGCTCTTCCTATGTCAATTCCATTATACGCACGACGAGGTTGGAAAAGTTTATTAGGTTTATCGAAATCGAACATTTGGAAATTGGTCATTCCGTTCGAATATTTTCAAAGTGACGATCGTGAAGTTCAATTAGTCTTAGAAAAAATTTTCGCAAACCGATTCCGACATAATCTTCATGTGTATGAATCGAAACAACAAATTGTAATCACAAATACTTTTCTTGGCAAATCGAAATTTAAATTTATTTTTAAAATAAAATCCGATTAATTAACGATAGATACACACAATATTCGTTTTTTTCGCAGAATATCTTCTGATTTTGTTCGGATAGAACGTATAAGAATATAATCATTGTTGGAGCAAAAGCTACGAAGAGTTTTCTCGCAAGACAAGACAATTTTCATGTGTCACTGCTTGTTTCAAAGAAATTTGACAATTAAGTCGAGACGATTCTTTAAATTTAGGATGAAGCGAACAAGAAAATGTTGGAAAACTATCGAAATCAAGGTACTCGATTGATTTCAGGTGAACTCGATGGAACTGAGTCTCGAAAAAGCTCTTCAAGGAATTAACGTTATAGTTTGCTCTTTAACTGATAGTCATGATTGAGAAATTCTTCTCAATGGACAAAAATCTCTCATCGATGATGCATCGAAAGAAGCGAATGTAATACAGTTTGTCACATATGACTATGGAATGGATTTGTCGAAAATCAAGTGCGTTTGATTTTTTTTTGAAAAACTTTGTTTGTGTTTTTTTAGAGAAAATGAATGTATGATTATTATAAACCAAAACAACAAATCTAGAATCTTTAAGAAAATGGCTCATCCATCGAACATACATTCATTGTAACTGAACTATTTGCATGTTTTGTATATCGTTTATTGTATTTTCAAAGACAAAGTCTCTATCGCTCAGATTTTCTTTTCTCCCTTGTTTTAGAATGATTTGAAACACGAAATTTCCACGACATATTCCAATGATGTTGCAAAGCTTCTGCGTAATCTGATTTTGCTCGATGAAACAAAGAACGTGCGAATCGATTATGCAAGTTTTATAGCAAAATTTACAGAGATTCATCAGGTTGCTCAAAAAATCACTGGACATTTAAAGTCAAATCATTTCAAAATTCGTGTTTTTATCAATGAATCTCTAACTAAAACAACAACTCTATGATCAAGTGTCTGAATTTGTCAAATCTATTTATGCAAGAGATACTTTCACCTTTCTTTCACATCCTCACCCACACCCGCCATTCAACGAAATCCATTCAAAACTGTCATAAATCTCAACAACAACAAGCGAGGATGTCATTGCAATGAATTTGAATGACTAATTCACACGTCATCCACCATTGTCGTTGTAAAATGACACTGTTATGATATTCAAGCATTGATAAGCACAGAACATTGTTCTAAATGTGATGGAGACTTTTGTCCTTTCATCAGGTATTTAGTTGCTTTACTTATGACGTCATTCCTCTTGTGATTCTTAAGCAGATTTCACTAGAACACTTTTTTATTCTGCATACGACTAAAATGCAGAGATTTATTCAGCCACATTGATCAATGCATTGGTTCGTTAAGTGAAGCTGAAGGAGACGAATCGTGGACACAAAATATGGTTCTAAGTGAATGCCATCTTCTCCAACCTTGATCTCATTTACCAGACATTATAGCAAGTGAACAGTCAATATGAACAAAATCTCATTTTCTTGAGTATTAACACAGTTGATGACGAAGAATCTTTCATTTCTGTCAAATTTTTCGATGAATTAGATATATAACTAACGAATATTTATGCCCCTAAAGATATTTTAGTTATAGCTCATAGATGCGACGATCATATCTAACTCGAAACTTTCCTATGTGGTCGTCTTTTACCCACTCCAATACGCACATCCAGATCGTCTTTTCAACGCTGGGTTTGATTAAAAAGAAAACCCACCGATACTTGATTTCGCGCGCGAGCTTTATATATAACTCTGCGATATGTACAATCACGCATGAAAACAAACGTTGATCATCAACGATCGCGCATTGACATGATGGGTTAAGTCCCAACATGTGATAAGATTATGGAATCAAAGTTTCACCGTACCTACGTTTGATAAGAGACATCGAAATACGATCTGGAACTTGATGCGTCCTATGTACGAGAAGGAAGGAGAACATGAAATGTTCTTTTAGAGCGTTTTGAATTGTGACGTGTGCAGGTCAAATTCGTGAGTTACGAAGTAGTACACATACGTGTAACAGTTAGAATATTAGATTTCTTCGTATGTAGGTACAGATGTCAAGCACACATTTTCTGATAATGCAAACGTATATAAATGTTTAATACTGCTCTTACTAAAGCTACGGAATTGAAAAAGATTCGAAGGCCAATGTGATCAATTGTACACAAGTTATCTGTAAAAGATCCTTTCACCATATATGTTCATATTTTATGAAAAAAGACGTTCTTAACTGTTTAAACGAGGATATATCATTTGAAAAGTATATCACATATGTGAATTGAAACATGCAGTTTCATCAAACACCGACTAATTGAACAATTTTATTCCTAAACGACTATAAAAGTATTTTCTTGAAAGTGGACTTATACATTGAACAGATAAAATGCAAACCATGACATGAAAAAGTCGCTTCTTTCTGTGCCATTTTGTTTCTTCGATCCACAAACCTATTAGTAAACTCCATAATATTCATTCATTTGGCTAAAAGCGGAATCCAAAATGATTCCATCATCAGGAGATCTTACCAACCAAAGTTATTTCTTGAAACAATTTATTGCTCTGGATCGCAAATATCCTGTCGGAATCCGTGTTACTTTTATTGGTTAGCAAGAAAGTATGACAATATCAGGAGATGAAATTACCGGTATTGCAGAAATCCCTCGATCGAAAATTTTCAGCGCAATATTAAATCGTGTACCACATGTGTGTAAAGAAAGTAGCACAATTACCTCTTTCAGTCATCGGAACTTTTTGGATACGATTATATATTTTTTACAATGCTAATTTATTTGTCTTATTTTTATTAATATTTCAATAAAAACTTGATTTCGACTTTTGTATTGGAAATGGCCGTGTTTAGAATAATGAAAGGGGTGCTTCGTACATCATCATTCTCTTGAGGATGAGCATGAGAAAGCAGGAAGAGCAAATATGTCATTTTCAACGATATTACAACTGACAGAAATTCCTCTGAGAGAATTATTGAACTAACCTTGAATTCAAGGTAAAAATTTAACCGTATCATGAAACCGTTCAACTTGATGTTGGCTTTTAAAACGAACCAATCGAGTATTCACAATAAAAAAACATTACGCATCATATGGTAATGACAAATCAAATCGACGAGTAAACTAAATGACCCTCGATCACGTTTCTTGACATATTAATAAGAAAACGCGTATATGTAATATGTTGAGGTTCATAAAAAATCTATCTTTCCTTATCAAATTCATGCTGGTGCAGAAAATGGATAAACTTTTCTTCGAATGGACCGTTTATATTAATTACTCTGAGTGAGTACACGATGCCTTCACTGGAAAACAAGAGTCAACGAGGATTTATGCGCCACACAGTTATACACGACTATGAAGTTCAAACAGTAGATATAATGCTAAATCATTGTTTCAGATATGTTATGCCTGGATTTTGGATTTACTGTTTGGCGATTTATTAATTCAGTTGATTGCTAAGCGAGTCTGTCTCGATCTCGACCAGCGTTGTGTATTCTGAGAAATCAGTTATTGCTTTACGTAATGGAGACTTTAAAACTTTAAAAGCGTTCTTGTGAAAAATGTTCAGAGATATTCTTTTACGAAATATCGATGAATACTTTCTGAAAAGTCTCTTCCATACTTTACACATTTTTAACGATTCTTCGTATAAATCTGTTATATGTAATATCAATAACTTCCCAAGTAATATTGAAAGGAATCTCTTTAATACTTTAATGCCGAAATAATGAGGAAAATTAATTAGCACTTCGAGAATATTCTTCGTCGTAAGTTTCAATGGAAAAAGGGCACATTTTTTTAAAAATAAATGACTAAAAAGTAAGGTGCATTATCTTTATTGACTGAATAAGCAGAAAAGAACTCTATGAAACATATAAAACAAAGTCCAACAATGTCATTGAATTCCACAATCGCATATCTTCGTGATATCACAGATGAAGTTCGTTTTATCTTTGGTTTATTTAACTTAGTTGTCGGTCTTATTAGTAATTTATCTCTAATCATCATTTTAACAAATCTTAAAATCTTTCACAAAACTCCTTCGAGTTTTTATCTAGTCGCTGAATCCTATTCAAACATTGGATTATTGATCTTTGTTTGTTCATCACGTATTTCAATCGGTATTCTCAGAGTCGATCCAACACTCGTGTCACTTCAGTGGTGTAAGTTTCATTCTGGTTTAATTCAACTCTTTGGTTTATGTTCATTGTTCACAATATGTTTCACAACAATCGATCAATATTTCTCCACTCATCATCGTTATGCCATTCGTCAACTGAGCACAATGAAATGTGCATATTTATTTCTCATCATAACCTTACTCCTTTCATCGTCTCACGGAATTTTGTTCTACATTTATGCTTCAATTGATCAATCCTCATTTGGATGTTCAATTTATAATGTAATGATGAGGAAGTACTTGTCTTATTTCTACTTTCCAGTGTTGAGTAATGCATTGCCACTTCTCATCACAATGACATTTAGTTTGTTGTCATATCGACATGTTCGTCGAATAGTTCGAAGACAAGTTCCCATTCGACGAAGACGATTAGATCAACAATTGACATCCATGATCCTGATTCGAGTTGTATCATTGATTTTCTTTGGTTTACCTTATATCATCACTTCGTTATATCAATTGAATGTTCCCAGTAGCAACAATGACCTCAATTCAACAATTATGATTCTCATTGCTGCAATCTTATATTCTTTGGTATATACAAACTTTTCAGTAATGCTTAAATAGATTGATTTTCCGAATGATTTGTTTGCTTTTGTGTTTTAGATCAATTTTTATCTATTTTTAATAATTTCATCCCGATTTCGCGGTCAGGTTAAATATTTTATTCGAAAAATGTCTCGTAGTATCTTCAATTTGATACATTTGCCAAGACACATTAGATTAAATACTAACAATCAAATCATGCCGGAAATTCCTGCACTAAATGTTTCAGTTTTAGAATCGGCTTGATGAACTCGTAAGAAGTATTCAATAAAAAAAAACATTCGCTTATATCTTGAAAATTTCAAAGACACTACGTTTAATAAATAATTGAAGGGACAGCGAATAATTTGATGAGGATCTTCGCTCTTTTAGCTCATCCTGTCATGTAGTACAAAGGCATTCAGGACGTGGAAGTTATTCAAGACAACATCAAAATCTCGAAAAAAAAGTTAATTTTGAAAATATTTCAGCTTAAAAAGATTGACTTGATGAATGAAATAATCGTATATTAGTATCCATAGAGAATATAGATGTAGATGGGCCGAGGAGGCGTTCATTTACCGTTATGTAGATTTACGCTTAAACACACCGTATTCATCGTTATTGGTGAGATGGTGAGGTCAGGATAAGATCTAACGGGATAGTCGTTGCCTTTTCATGTTGCTATGGCCCAATACTCTTATACCAAGTTCATTAAGTTAGAATTTAGCATGATAATGAACAATCAAAGTAGCTTTCAGTTATATCGATTAACTATATCTGATACAGAGTTACAAGTTTTCTGTAGAAAACGAAATATCATACAAAAGGAAATCATTCGCATGTGATTTCCTACGAAAATATTATAACAAATACAAATTATGACATGGCAAACTTTTATTGAAGTTTTATGGCAATTTTTATGATCAGATACTGATCGAACACGAAAAAAATCTACTTAGTAAATACGATCCTTCCTGTATTGATTCCAGTGCGGGATAACATAGCGATCCGTATTATCATGCGCGCCAAATTGCCGTGATTCCTAAATCACAAAGTTATCCTGCACACATAGATTAGCGCTCGTATGACAGCAATGTCATCTGAGCGCTAACGGTCGCATCAGAGCATCTGTTAAAATGCATCGTATTTAAGATATCAGAGTTTTAACATATAAACACATCGATTTTCTTTGCACATGTCAACTATGAAAAGTAGAGGGTATTTCGTTTTCACAAGCTTGTATCTTTATATTCAAATTTCGAATTCTTAGTGGTTTTATGCTAATCTTTGGGAGACAGATACCGCAGCCTTTCTCTTATACATTTCAGATTTCTCCTCTGTCCTAAAAGCTGAGGGTGGCTTAATGGTAATAACTGTTCAGCGATTTTTATACTACGTTCACAAAATAAATGAGCTCTTGAGTAATCGCCTATATTATAATAGACCGAGCTGATGTTGCTGTAGGATAATGCCAGATCGGGATGATCTGCAGGAAGTGATTGCTGTCGAATCGCAAACGCTTTCTCATGGTATTTGAGTGCTCGTGGATAATAAGTCATGTCATCATATACGGTACCGATATTGTTGTAGGTAGTAGTTAAACTACGTAGAAATAAAAGCAAACGATGTTGTTGACTGACTTGGATCGACCTGTATATTGAAGAGAATTCCTAATAAATCCGAACTATCTGCACTACTCTTTGCATATGACAAACAGACGTCGCGTTTTGTGCTGGTAGACGAGAAGTTACTGAACCACATTAGTCCGCCTTCTGTCTTTTTTCGTTCTTCAAAATCTGCTTGTGATAAACCCTGGCCACGAAAAACGGTGAAGATGATAGAACAAGGTCTATCAATAAACTGTTATTTGTGCAGCTGCTTGATGTTTCTATGAAGATCAGCAATAAAGAATCCCATTCGTACAAGAATATCGCCATCCATTGTTCGGAGTGCAGTACCTCGTGTGTACCACCAAATTGGTTTCTTTCCATGGCAGTCACGTAGTAGTCGTTCAACGCTATTGGATTGTTTTCCATCGATAGTCAATAATCCAGGATGATACTTAATAAATTCTAGTATATTGTTGGTCTTCGAAATCGATGAACAAAAATATCTCTTTGAAGAGTTGTGTGTACATAAACGACGGATTGAGCTGGTCCAATCCTCTTTCAGGCACAATAAAACTGATTGGCATGGTGATCTGTTCATATTGATGAACCGTGCCTTCGGCAGATTTGCAGAGTGATACTTTGTCAATGAACACACCTTTGATCTTCATCCAGTCCTTTGTCCATGATATGACTTGTTTTCACAAAAGATGAAAAGACAATCTAATTGAGGAATATCATGAATACAAGGTAGAAGATAATGTCCAAACGATCCAGAAGTGATTAGATAAACTTTATGACAATTGTTATTCAGTACAAATTCGATACACTCGTCATTATCTGCGAATATGTGATTATTGTTGAAAATAGATTGAAGTTGCTTAGTTAGCAAGCGATAAGTGCTGAGGTTGGTATTAATATAATTGTCAAGCCAGATAAGGATGGTTTTTTGCATTTTTCGATGTTGACTGATCGGCCACTATCTATTTTTGTTTGGAAGTGATGATTATTCTACTACCTATTATTGATTCTGGTTGCTGTACTGTGTAGTTATAGATCGAATTCTTTTACATTGTGATTACTCACGAAACTTAAAGAATAATTTTGTCAACATTTTTCACGTTCTTATAGTTGAATGCGCAGTAGTCGAAGAACGACAAAAACATTATGGTCAAAATTATGTTTGTAGCCATGTAAAGCTTTAACAATGTTTGAAAGAATTGCCGTCTCCTTTTGGAAATAGAAAGAAAAAAATATGTATGAAAAAGAAGGCATTTCTTCAGAAGAAAAGTGCAACTTAACTGAAACAAATAAACATTTCTGTTCGTTCGTTGCTATCAAATATAAGATTTAATCATACGTTTGTTGTAATATGTAAATCAGTCGACTTGACACAGGCGATACTTTTGAGCGGAATTCAATTCTTTCCCAGACCCTCTCTATACTATTCATTCACCTAATCGTACAAAAGATTTAACCTTAGATTCAATAGAACATGATCCTTTTTAATCTCATATTATTTTGAGTTCGAACCAGATACGCAGAAATCGTTGGTTTTTTTTTTGTTTATTGTTCATTTCGATAATTGTGAACTGGATGGACGTGCTGCGATGGCCGAGTGGTTAAGGCGTCTGACTAGAATCATGAAAATGACTGTTAGTGATCAGATGGGTTCTCCCGCGTAGGTTCGAATCCTACTCGCAGCGTTTCTCTTTTTTTTCAAAAACTTCAGCTTCTATTTATCGAAAGTATTTTTACAATTTCATCACCACAAAATCAATTATAAAGTATCGATGTGATCAGGAAATGTGCAAATAAACAACGAGAAAAGAAAGTAAAAGCTTCATCTGTATAATCTTCAATCAATGATACATTTTATTAAAGAACATAAACGCAAAAATCCAACATATTTGTTTATCATTCATAAAACCAATTGACAAACGACGGTGAGACAGAAAAAAAATTCGTTCTGCCAAACTCTGGCAGTCTCTGATGGAATTGCATCATGCTGATAGAAAACACGCATTTATATATTAGCTCAGCAACTAGAAAGAGAGCGCCTGGTTTAAAAAAAAAACGAAATGCTACGCTAAAGATTTTCGTTCAGTTATTCTCTATCAGATTCAAGCTTTGTCCGTTTTGAAAGCGAATAGTAAAAATACAAAAAAAGTGTGATCATATCTAGATTACCGAGTTTTTCATGCTGCATTTTCTATTTAAGATGACGGGAAAATAGAAAGTAAACACGCATAAATGATACCGCGTATTATTGCTGCCAGCTGAAGTTGCTCAAGAAACGTTCTATGGATATTTTCCTTCCATTCTGTAGGATTTCAAATAAACAGTCACCTTTTGTGGTTAGAATCGTCGACAAAAACTAAGGAACTTTGACGTAGTTACTCTGTCATAGTATATACAAAATAATAAAGAGGCAGAAAGATAATTATTATCAAGTACGACGAGCTTCGCAAGTAAATCTTGACTGTTGATAATTAAAAATATTTGTTTGACTAATATTCACTTGCTGGTGGAACACGCAATGTTGATGCTCGAGCGTACATGCACAAAGATTATGATATCTAAAACGCTGTTAACCAACATAGGGGATCACGCAGTTCGAATACATGTGCTTATTCGCATCCATAACGGTTATAAACATCGGTAGGAACACGAAATAAAAGTAGAGAATTGTGCGTGAAAGTAAGACAGCTGAGAAGGATTTTATTAAATTGAGATATCTACATCAAAATGATCCAATCTCCCAACACTTCAACGACATCTTTTAATGGTGAGATGGGACGAAATAACGTATAGAAATACTCAAAAATAGCAGAACAAGATATCCTTATGTTCTCCATACGTTCCATTGTTTGCTTAAAGCTATTGCACTGCTGCCATCAACAATGATGCCATTCAAATAGATTTTTTTCCTTTCTCAAAATATAATAATTGATCCTTGAGTACGTAACTTATTGCATTGAAGGTAATTTTCAACTTTTGTCTGAATGTAACATAAGTTTCTTTGGTTTTTAAGTATAACTACAGTAACTCGTTAGCGTTCGATTCGTGTAGTGCAGTTCATGAAGTTATTCAGAGCACTTAAAAAGTATTATCATTGCCTAAAAAGCATTCCGGAGGAAAATATTCGATGCAAATTTCAGCCCGTGTTTTCATCTTATGTTTTCAATCCTTTGGATAATAAGTTTGAAGAGTGCTATAATCGATTCTCGAGATTCAGCTTAAAAGAATGTCTCAAATATTTTTAGACTTGCATCAATGAACAAAAAATCTAATTAACATTCAAAACGGATTTTCTTGACACGTTCTAAATTGCAAAAAGAAAATGGAGATTAGTTTTCACTTGAAGAGAAAAAGTGAAATATGTGAACTTTATCGTGTGAGTCAGTGAAAAAGGTCCCTTTGCAACACGTCGACAAATAGACAGAGAATGACATTGAACTCAACAATCGCATATCTTCGTGATGTCACTGATGAAATTCGTTTTATCTTTGGTCTATTCAACTTAGTTGTCGGTCTTATTAGTAATTTATCTTTGATCATCATTTTAACAAATCTTAAAATCTTTCGTAAAACTCCTTCGAGTTTTTATCTAGTCGCTGAATCCTACTCAAACATTGGATTATTGATCTTCGTTTGTTCATCACGTATTTCAATCGGTATTCTCAGAGTAGATCCAACACTTGTATCACTTCAGTGGTGTAAGTTTCGTTATGGTTTCAATCAAGTATTTGGTTTGTGTTCATTGTTCATAATATGTTTCACAATAATCGATCAGTATTTCTCCACCAATCATCGTTATACCATTCGTCAACTTAGCACAATGAAATGTGCATATTTATTTCTCATCATAGCCCTACTTCTTTCGTCATCTCATGGAATTTTGTTCTACATTTATGCTGACATTCATTCGTTGCCTTTCGGATGTTCAATTTATAATGTAATGATGAAGAAGTACTTGTCTTATTTCTACTTTCCTGTGTTGAGTAATGCATTGCCAATTCTCATCACGATGACATTTAGTTTGTTGTCATATCGGAATGTTCGTCGAATAGTTCGAAGACAAATTCCCATTCGACGACGGCGATTAGATCAGCAATTGACATCCATGATCCTGATTCGAGTTGTATCATTGATTTTCTTTGGTTTGCCTTATATTATTGTCTCATTGTATCAATTAAACGTTTCTAACAATGACAATAATCTGAAATCAACGATTGCAGTTTTTCTTGGTGCATTATTCTATTCATTGTTATACACCAACTTCTCAGTAAGGTGATTTTCCTGTTTTATACTTTTACATTTATGTTTGTTTAGATCAACTTTTATTTATTTTTACTGATTTCATCTCGATTTCGCTGTCAAGTGAAGCATTTTATTCGAAAACTGTTCCATCGTTGTTGTCATCAACGATCTTCATTAAGACACATCAAACTTAAAAATAATCAAATTGCACCAGAAACATTTGTAAAAAATATTTCAACTGTAGAGTCAATTTAATAAACTCATAAGAAATATTCAATAAAAAAACATTTGTTTATGTCATGAAATCTCTGCGGGAGACTTGAAAGGTGGTAGTTTTGTGCGAATTAAATGATTGAAGGATTTAATCCGGATCCGTATTTTATTGACACGACGCTCTTATGACTGGAAATCTATACACCGTGAGAAGCTTAAGTTAGCGTCCAATTAAAGAGATAAGCATTATTCTGATGTTGTGAATTAAGTTGGTGTTAATATATGTGATATATTCATGTCAATCCTTTCACCGACGTCTAATCATATACTTATTGAACGAAAGTCTTCACAGTTTCCCGAGTAAATACGTTTTAGTCTTCTTTTAAACTAAATGAAATCCATACGATTTGTTTAATCGGTAGCTTGAAATACAATGACGGTAGTCTTTTCTATGAAGATATGGTATTTTATGTCGCGACGAAGATCGTATTTCTAACCTGTCGCTCACCGTTAGATTTATAAAACAAAAGAAGATTTCAGTCAGTTTCAAAAATATTTTCGAAAACTTTAACGTAATAAGCACGTCCATCGCATAACCGTTGTTGATAAATTATCAAATATACAGAAAAGAATCGTTTTCAATCGTTGATTTCATTATATGTGGATTTCTCTTGTGGAAATCCAGTTTTAGCGTTTATGTTATATCGATCAGAGTAGAACGACCGAACGGGCAAGAAAAGTTCATTTTCTCTTGTTTATTGCTCATTTCGATAATTGTGAACTGGATGGACGTGCTGCGATGGCCGAGTGGTTAAGGCGTCTGACTAGAATCATGAAAATGACTGTTAGCGATCAGATGGGTTCTCCCGCGTAGGTTCGAATCCTACTCGCAGCGTTTCTCTCTTTTTTTTTCGTTCAGCGAGAAACGACGTGTATAGATGTAAAGTACTTCTTCGAATATGTGATCGAATGAATTCATTGATCCATGTTCGAGACTGACAAAACATCCAGTTCAACTTTTCTTTTCGTCAAAATAATCGTCAAGTTTCTCTCGAACATTTCTTGCGTATAACTAACTGTAAATTAAAATGAATTTGATTTTAGTTTCAATCGGTCGCAGCCATCACAATCCGAAGAATTGTCCGCTTACCATCGACACTAATGATGTGATATTTCGTTGCATCTTGGTCTAAAGATTCTGAAAGGGAAAAATTCTTCTAGAAACTCAACTTAAATCAACGCATAATTATCGCACCAAGGAACATTGATCAGAACTATTTGTACGCACTGTCTACGCTTTCGCTTAGAACTCGATTGCTTAAGTCATGTTTACATTTTCAATGGTGAAAATACCGTCATATCTTGAACGCTGGCTTTGTTTTCGCATGCTATTTGTGCAAGTTTTTCAAGGATATCATGATTCATCCCAGAAAGGTATTTGAAAAAAACCTTTCGTTTATGTCAACTTTTATTTATTTTACCTGATTTCATCTCGATTTCACTGTCAAGTGAAGCATTTTATTCGCAAACTATTTCATCATTTCTATTGTCCAGTCTATTTATCGGAACGCACGAAATCAAATACAATCCGAAACCATTTGAATTGTTGAATGCTTGGCTCGATCTATCTTCAGAAAATATTTCAATAACGAAAAAATCGACGTCTCTGTTCCTATGATCCAGATGAAGTCCAAAGAAAAGCAATTATTTCTCCTTTTAAAATTTTTTCATCAATTATCGGATGAAAGAAATGAAGAATAATTTGATAAAGATAATAATCTAAAATAAGTGATTTTTCTTTATTTTGACGAGCCGTATTAATTCCGACTGATTTAAATCTTGTCAAGTATATCGAACATTGATCTCACAACTGGTTTCTGATGTTTCGTTATCATCCAACACTTATGAACAAATATGTAAACATTGTTGCTTTCAAAAACGTACTTTCGTTGCTGTTTGGAATGAAGACAGTGTTAATTTTTTCCTTATGTCAATCCACGTGTGATATACGAGCGAGCGAATCATTGGTTTTCTTTTGTTTATTCTTCATTTCGATAATTGTGAACTGGATGGACGTGCTGCGATGGCCGAGTGGTTAAGGCGTCTGACTAGAATCATGAAAATGACTGTTAGTGATCAGATGGGTTCTCCCGCGTAGGTTCGAATCCTACTCGCAGCGTTTCTCTTTTTTTTTTTGTTCATCAAGAAATAAAGAGATTTTCCCGATCTATATTTGAAGATGAAGACGTATTCCTTATAAACGTTTTAATTCAGGCAACAAGGAATATAAAAATTTAACAAAACTGTCGTTGTAAGTATATTGTACAACGATCTTAAGCATCTATCGAAAACAATGAGATCAATTAATGACAGATTTTTTTGTACAAGTTCGAGATAGGCCGATGCATAATGGATACTCGAACAGGCATCTAATTTTTCAAAGCTCTTATTTCATATCTTAGAAGATTTTCCGAGCTGTTAGTGCGATTTGTTTAAGTTCTAACAACTTATTTAGTTTAGAATTTCACGGTCTTAGGTACGAACGACAAAAATCTTCACATTTCCTGCAGCTTTTGTTCATTCCAGTGAAACTAATCTCCTTTACATCGTGCTGTTATCCCTATCACTCTTGGCTTTGTTTTTAAGAACTGTTAGGATGAGCTGAGAAAGTCCTTTCTGCATGTCCACACTTCAGTTAATGGAAAGGAGTTACTTTAAGCTTCAACGATTTTCTTGAGGTGCCTTGGGTTAAAAACAAGATTAAATTCCTCTTTTATAAGAACAATAACAAGTAATCCACGCCATTTTGTGCCTCGTAAGTAAGCGAAGAAGATATTTGCAACACATTAAATACAGACGGATAATGCCACTAAACTCAACAATCGCGTATCTTCGTGATGTCACTGATGAAATTCGTTTTATCTTTGGTCTATTCAACTTAGTTGTCGGTCTCATTAGTAATTTATCTTTGATCATCATTTTAACAAATCTTAAAATCTTTCGTAAAACTCCTTCGAGTTTTTATCTAGTCGCTGAATCCTACTCAAACATTGGATTATTGATCTTTGTTTGTTCGTCATATATTTCAGCTAATATCTTCCGCGTTGATCCAACTATCGTTTCACTGCAATGGTGTAAGTTTCGTTATGGTTTCAATCAAGTATTTGGTTTGTGTTCATTGTTCATAATATGTTTCACAACAATCGATCAGTATTTCTCCACCAATCATCGTTATGCCATTCGTCAACTGAGCACTATGAAATGTGCATATTTATTTCTCATCATAGCCCTACTTCTTTCGTCATCTCATGGAATTTTGTTCTATATCTATGCTTTGATTGATCAATCCTCATTTGGCTGTTCAATCTATGATGCAATGATGAAGAAGTACTTGTCTTATTTCTACTTTCCCGTGTTGAGTAATGCGTTGCCAATTCTCATCACAATGACATTTAGTTTGTTATCTTATCGGAATGTTCGTCGAATAGTTCGAAGACAAATTCCGATTCGACGACGACGATTAGATCAACAATTGACATCCATGATCCTGATTCGAGTTGTATCAATGATTTTCTTTGGTTTGCCTTATATCATCACTTCGTTATATCGATTGAATATTCCTGTTGGCGATAATACTCTGACAACAGCTGTTGCAGCGCTTCTCACAGCATTAGGTTATTCATTGCTATACGCAAACTTCTCCGTAAGATATTTTCCCTTGCATCATCTGTTCTTAATCAGTCTGTTTTTAGATCAACTTTTATTTGTTCTTAATAGTTTCAGTTCGATTTCGCTGTCAAGTGAAACATTTTATTCGAAAAGTATCGCATGATTTTTACCATGTATTACGCGCGCCAAGTCACATCGAATTCAGAAATAATCAAGTTGTGCCACATGCACTTGTAAGAAACACTCTAACTGGTGAACTCACAAACGAAAAAACGTTCCAATAACGAATACTTCGGTGTAATTTTTTTATGTAATTCAAATGAAGTCTCATGAACACAAGAGAATCTTTTTATATTTTGAAATGCTTCTATTGATTATGGAGTTAAAGAATGAAGAATAATTTTCAAAAAATGCCCTACACTTATATCACAATTCAAAGTGACGAAGAAATCTTTATCATGCTCTTAGAAATAAAATTACCGCTAAATATTCAATATCTTTATATTAAGAGCTTCGCAAGGTTTGGATTTATTTCCTCATTTGGCAATTCTAATTCGCCTGAAGCTTCCCTGTAGTGATTTTGACAATTAAATAGAAAACTATAGAAAAAAGTTAAGCTCATATTGTTATACATTTTCTTATCTAAAATCTATTGAAAAGATGCGAACAAATCTTTAGTTTTCTTTTGTTTATTCTTCATTTCGATAATTGTGAACTGGATGGACGTGCTGCGATGGCCGAGTGGTTAAGGCGTCTGACTAGAATCATGAAAATGACTGTTAGTGATCAGATGGGTTC